GCTTTATAATTACCGCTCCTTCATCTCCATTTTTTCTCACACACTCTCACACAGCTGCCCATTGTCAGCCCTGTCAGTCACTGGGTCTCTGCTCGCTTGATGTAATTAGACAGCATACACTGGGGTGGGTTTGTTTTTCCATTGCTGCTTTAACTATGGACATTAAACTGTAAGCCACTTAGTGTTCCCCATAAAAGCCCTTTCCATAGCACTGTGATATTACGCTTATAAGCACTCACACAATAGTCTTGTAAACAGTTGTACTCGCCGCCATCATGAGTAGTTTTAACACATGCACCGCTGACAAAACAGAAACAAATCATATAGTCCGGCAGCCTGCTGGTACAGTCGCTGGGAATGTGCAGGAGATGGTAATAATAGGTTGGTGAGGAATGCAGACTAAAGCCCCTTTGGTTTTAATCTTATCTCGTTGTTAACAGTAAGTTGCTGTATAAACTTGTATAAACAGGCAACAGTGGAATTTGAGGTTCATCATTTTGCTTTATTTACATGGACTGGTGTGGTTTAAGCATATTAGATGCCAGACTAATAGTTTCCCACAAACAACAAGCAGCTTTCATCACTTTTCCATAAAGTTGTTGAAATATATAATCTATGAATGTACTGAACACAGCAGTGGAGTATGAGTCAATATTGGATCAAAGTGAAGATCAAAAATTAAAATGTAATTATTATTATTTATTATTTATTTATTTTGTTAAAGGTGTACTTTTCAGATGGGGGTTCTATCACCTGCTTGATGTTATTTCTTTGCCTGGAATGTTGCTCAGAATAGCATGGACTTGTCTGTTTGGCATTTATTCAATTACAGGTGTTTACATTGCTCAAAATTTTTTGAATAGCATTTTTACTGCGAGTGAACTTGCCTCTCCACAGATCTGACCTGTAACTTGGCCTGATGGAGTCATCTGCTTGTCATTCTTGTCACCATAGAGATAAATACTGTGGAACATTTCAGACAAAACAATAGGAGTTCCACTGAGACAGGTGCTGGACCCTCCATAAGCGCACCTTTAAACTAACTAATATTTTTACCACTACTTAATTTTTTTGAAGTACTATCATTGCTATTGTGACTGGTTAAAGTCTGCAATTTTCTACAGTTTTATGAGTGATAATAAGTTTATCTTTATATCCCAGCCAACTTTCTAACAATGTGTTGATTTAGTCTGCATGTTAATCATGCTTATGTATATAGCATTTCCACGTAATTATGTAACAAAGACTATTGTTTATTCGCCAGGAGCAGTTGTCTAAATGACTGTTGAAGCTGTGGTAGTGAAAATTAATCCTTCAAGCACTTATGGTTTGAGCAGTGTGCCAGCCAAACCAGTGGCATAGAGCTGCCAAGCCGAAGCAAAGAGAGCTGGGAAGTTCCCTCTGCTGTTATTGCAAAACTTGTTCCACTCAGACAGTATACCGGATGAATTAAATGCTTGTGTAAGTCAATATTCTATAAACAAGGTTATAATATGTCAAAAAGTAAGCCTCAGAAATGTCTATTATGGCCTATTAAAATCTACAGCTTGCTTGGCCAGTTTGGAATTCTTATATAATTGCACTCTACACAATGCTGTTAATTAGACTCCTGCTATTCAGAAGCATCTAGTCTGTTTTGATTGCAACTTGTGATATGCTTATGCAAGGGCTTTCTGACTCATTATAAAAAACGTATTACCACCAACAGTGATTAATACTGACGTAGTTTCAAAACTGATTAACTTTTGTCGCTATTGCCAAAAAAAATCAAACCACTTTTATGGATCATTTGACTGAGTGGTGTAACAGGTCCCCTCTTGTAGATGTGTATTCTACTCATGCATGCGAGAGTCATGAACAAGGAGAGGCAGTGTTAGACAAAAACACAATTACGAACATTTATAATTTGATACAAACATGGCGGACGTACATTCACTGTAATTTTTGTGTCTAATCCTTGATGTTTTTACGTTTTCCCTTTGATCGCTAAGGAAACAGATTACATGCATTCACTGTGACACCATTTAACCTGGATGCATTGTAAAACTTCAAAAGAAATCAAAATTATGTCAACATTGCTCGGATGAAAGAAGGTAAACAACTGCTGCATTTTTGTATGTTTGCGTTTTTTGGATTTGACTAGCAGTGTGTGCATTATGTCGTATCTCGGCGCATCTGATGACAGGAGCTTTGTCTTGTATTTCCCAGACCCACAGCGTCTCTGGCTGTCTCTGTCAAAGAACAGCACTCCCATTGTGAGGGGGCTCAGGGCTTTTATAAGGTCAGGAGGACTACAGGTAGCACAAGGTTAAGATTAATCGCCCCATCTTTGACAGGCGGGAGGGGCGATGGACCGGGAGATGGGCGGATCGGGCGGATAAGTCGATGGAAGAAAGGGGTAATTGAGAGAGAGAAAAAGTGATGGAGGAAGTTGGGAATGAAGAAAAAGGAAAGAGAGACAGGTAAAGACAGGGGGAAGTAATTATGTGCATGAGCGTCTTTGTTGTGCTCAGCGGTGCGTTCAGGGCGGGTCGCAGAGTGGCGGCCCGTGCAGTAAGAAAGGCGGTCAAGGGTAATTACCTGAGCTGTGTCTTTGATGGCCGTGTGGCGCGCTCACAGCTAATGCATCATTATCACTGTCAGTGCCACAGGCCCTGCACAAGGCTTCCGGGTCAGACAGACATGATAGACTTCCAGCTCAAGTTCCAAATGGTGATTGGTTTTGGATTTAAACTGATAAAATATATATATATATACATATACACACACACATATATATATATATATATATATATATATATATATATATATATATATATATATATATATATATATATATATATATATATATATATATATATATATATATATATATATATCATGCTCATATGCATCACATTTGCATCTGAAACTACATGTTTCTTTTTTGATTGCAGCATGTGTATATCATAGACTGTATATATAACTGGACATACCTAATCCACTAGCCACCGCATTCCAAAGAGGAAGTGAACATAGGGACACTTCCGGCTCCATCAACTCCAATCGGCTCCAATTGACTTTACACTGAAAAAATGTCACCCCTCTCTTTGTAACTGCTGCAGTGAGCCTTGTCATTTTGGCCTTAAATTGTTCATATTAACCTACTTTACCTGATCCTGGTGTTTTTACTTTGTTATTTTGTCATAAATTAATTCTTATTCCTATAAACTCTTACTCGGCACCATATTCGCTCCTATAACTGCTATGGATGATGTCACACTTGCTTAGGCCACATCTTTGTACAGTCTAGGTGTTTTGTTCAGAAAATTGGAAATATTAATTTCCATTCCAAAAGCTCATCTCTGTTGTTGTATGCTCACCCCTCCACTGAGCTTACCTGCAACTTGTCTGGAATGGTCTGGTGGCAATTACATCTCAGTATAGACAAGCAGATGCCGAACGGTCTACACACTCTACAAGTTACACAGAGCACCTTATTGCCTTTTTTTTTTTCAAATTTGGTTGTAGAAATCTGTTTTCTATAGTGTTGTGGTTACTGCTGACAATTAAAGTTTTCTGTTTTTAACGTTTTAATTAACTAAGCGCTTATTTATCCACCAAGTTCATCAATGTCTCCAAATAAAAGTGCAGCTGGGCCGGATAGAGTCACCTTGCAGATGTTAGTTTGACTAATCACCAACAAAGTGACCTAATATCCGTGCTGTTGAATCTGAATGCCCGTCCTTTTGCTTGACTATATTATTGTCAGTTTGCATGCATATCAGATCATTAATGTGCACAGGACCAAAGCGCTGTAGCTAACTCTGAGCTTAGCATCTCACTTCAAAGCCGGAGTGTTTTCTATTTTCTCCACAGATGCGTGAGCTGTGGGTAGTGGCTGTTGTTGTACGAGTGAGTCAGGGGCCAGCTGTAGGGGCACTCTTGGCCAGAATCCACCATTTTAAGTCTTGTGCTTATTCACTGTCACATAAACAAATACCACAAGAAGCTGTTTCAAACTGATCCAACCACCTGAACAATCTTCTCAGATGTCTCTCACAACATCTGTTCACCGCAGATTAGCAAGTGCGCCATTTTGTACAAACTTGTGTGTTTTCATAAAGAATCCATGCTCACAGCCCCTCAACCTGTTCGTTTCCAGTCGGAGGGTATAAAGTCTTTGATATGGCGACCCTCTTTTATAGATATGCTCCTATAATTCTCTAAGACAACTGGTATGCTGCAGATTAGATAGACAAATACACCCTCAAGGTTAGAAGTGGGATAGGGAGGAGGAAAGGAAGCATATAAGGTTTTCTCCTGTCCCGACACATCCCCATGTTAATCTGAGAGGGCTTCATGCATTTAAATGTTCCGATTAGAAACAGCCAAACTGGCACTTTCTCTAAAAGCTCCAATTAAGTGCTTAAGGTGGTGCTTTTCTGTTTGTTGTCTCAGTTACTTCATTTCGTATTGTCAATGGGGGCTTTCAGGGGGACAAAATGGCGCCAATCTGTACTAAATTGTAGTAGTCAAAAGAAGGTATATACTGTAGATTATAGCATTTTATTGACAAATAAGACTGAAACTTGACAACTTCTAGCTTTGCAACATTTTCACAGGTCTATGCCATCCAAGGTCTTAAACTTTTCATCATCTACTATTGAAGTAATAGTTTTTGGTTTAAACTCTACTTAAGCTATTGCGCAGTTGAGTATACAGACTTGCAGACACTTGCTTTAATGTTTTTTTCATGAGTACTGTAATGATGAAATTTCTGCTCACATTCAGGTAGCTGTTTGGTGTGTATTTTGGGGGTCATCCAGAGTTCCCGGCACTGTCTCTTTGGCTTCGCTACCTGCTTGGCAGTGAATAATGGCCCGAGATGACAGACTTTCCTTACTGATTATGCTGGCTCTTATCTGTTACGCAGTTACACATCTAAATGCGAAATAGCACAACTTAAAAGAAAATAGACCCTTTTAATTAGTGTCTTTCTGTGTCTGTTTCTTTTCCAGTGACATATTTGATGCCATGTTCCCTGTAACGCACATCGCTGGCGAAACTGTCATCCAACAAGGTATGTATCAATACAGTATGAATCTAATACAACTTCATATAATTTATTTCATATTTCATATATTTTTATACAAATGCAGAGGGGAGGGCATAGTTGTCAATTCACACATTCAGATGTTGCATAATGTTAATATTACTTGCTTATATTGTTGACAAGTTATGTTAATAAACATGGTATCTTATATAAACATGTGATCAAGTTCATGAATGCATGCCAAAGTTGTCAATTCATTATCATTTTGCTGACTTTACAACCTTTTCAATTCTGACCCCACCCTATGTACTGTTGCTATTTGAGAATTTTCTATTTAGGAAACTGTGCCACTTCTTCTTCTGTGAAATTGAGTAATTCAAATTGTCATTACATCAGCATAACCTTAAAGAAAAAAATAGTTGCAGGGTAGTTCCTCACTCTGCAACTGGAGTAATATTATCCATTCTTAAATTCTTATTACGCTATTCTCTGATCTATGTTATAATGTTGTCTCCTCCTTGTTTCATTCACACATTTAACTCACAAACCCTGCATATTTAGGTTGTTCTCTCAAACAGAAAACACTCTGTTCCACCTTGTGATGTCATGTGGTAAAACAGGAAGTGCTCCACTGTGTTTTTAAACTTCATACACCTTCACTAGAATAATTTGGGTAATTTCAGCTTTGGAATCTATGCTGAACAAAAGATAAAAGTTAGCTGTTAACTTGAAAACTACCGCTTCACGATATTGCAAGGTAGAACAGAGCATTATGAGCAAGCAAAACACAACTCCAGGTATATTTTTGATGAGGTAACAGCATTATAACATGGCTCAAATCTCACAAGAGTGAGTTTAGCATAATATAGGCCCTTTAAGTGTGTCCCTCCCTCCCTTCAGCATATAAAATGTCCAATTTACATGTATTCTGCCCCATACTTCTCTCCTTTAGGATACTGCACCATTCACATATATAACTGTGCCTTCTTATGCCCAACATAGCTCAAAGTAGTCATATGGGACTTTGAAGGAGTCCAGATTGCCGGGAGGAGATTGTATTTTTCCAGTGCCCCCACGCAACCCACTCAAAGCGCTATCAAACAGACACAATGTAAACAGTCAAACATACATTCGCACAAAGCATTACACCCTAGTACAGATAACACTGCCTTTACAACTGCATAGATTCACATAGACCATAACTGCAGGCTTGTACCCCCCATAGACCACACCCACTGCCCCTAAAGACACTGGCCTCGAAGATATCGGTCCTAATTTGGTGTTAGTCTGACTTTAGCAGGTCCGGATCTGAAGCCACCCATTGTTATATACAGAACCGTGGTATATACAGTATACAGTGAAGGCTGGTGTAGTGTCATTCTTAGGGGGCTACTGTAGTGCTTCAGAATACCAGATCTCATCCCACGCAATCTACAAACCAGGTTTAAGCTACTGAGCGCAAAATGCTTTTAAGTAAATACACTGAAATTGAAAACAAGACTGAACCATATAATGATTTTTAGTTTAAAGGTGCATTGCTTTAATGTTTTTTGGTGGAGGGTCGGTCAAATGCACTTCTCCATGGAAATGTTATTGCTTTGTCTGGAATGTTTCACAATATGGTATTAAACCTTTTTATCTTCATGGAGACCAAACCAGACAAAGTTACAGGTCAGATCTGTGGAGAGGCAACCATGCTCACAGTCAGAATGCCTAAGTATTTTTTCAGCTACCTGTAATTGAAAAAAAAGTAAGGTGTTTAAGAGCTGTTTAATGTCATGCTGTGGAACATTCCAGCAGAGCAATGACATATCCACAGAAACAAGCGACAAACCGCAATCAAAAAGTTACATAGTGCACCTTTATTGCCGCTCTGTTTAAAAAAACAAAAACAAAAAAATACCCTGAGAACTAATCTCACAATTTAGATATATGACCATGTTATACAAATTTAGTTTCAAATTATATTGAAATTGATGGGGGGTTAATAAAACCTTACATTGCCTTTAAGAGTCAAGGCTTACATTGGAAAGCCAATTGAAAAAAAAAAACTTGCACTAGAATTCGAGGCCTATTATCAATACTGTCATTGTTTGTCCCAGCCAACGTCATTTTGAACACAATTCCATAATACAACTATAATTTGTGGGTAAAAGCCTTATAGATGCAGCTTTGAGAAAGTAGCCAAAAACATCAATAGAGCCCAATTATGCTGTGTTGAAACAAATGCACATGCCACTGTGTATGGATGTTCTAGCCAAATATTTGCCTTCACTCTCAGGCGCAGGGGGGCTAGAGTAGTGCCAAACAAAGGGCTGAATACATACGTGATAAAAGACAGGAAGAGCAGAAGAAAAGAGGGAGAGCGAGAGGGATCTGGAGGAGAGATAGAAGAGATGAAAGAGGGGAAGAGCGAGAGGAGCAAGGCCGGGCTGCTGCAGGGACTGCTCTGACTGGGACACAGCAGACGCAGGGAGCATCACAGTGACAAATAGAGCACTATGATGGATGGCCGCTCTTTGCTCACTATTAATTAGCCGTGTGAACTCCTGTGAACTTTACTCTCAGGGTGCTCTGCTCCTTTCAACCCCTCAAGTAAAGCCACACAAGAACAGCCCCGGACACAATGTGCTACAAATATGCTGGAAAAGTTCACTATTGTACTCCCAAATCTTAAATACATTTTAGTCTGCCTCATTCATCATGCTCTGTCAGGCATCATTTGAAGGAGGCTGTGTATACTCAAACAGCTAAGGGCAAAAGGCGGGGTACACTGAAACCGTATTGCCAATAGATGAGTACCTAGAGCGGGTGCAAGGAGTATCTAAGAGGAATGAGAAATCTTATGTCTCTGCAACTAAATTATTATTTTTTTATCTTTCAGGCGATGAAGGAGACAACTTTTACGTGATTGACCAAGGAGAAGTGGATGTAAGTGGCTAGTGGCTTCTATAACTTACGACACGTACACATCAAAATTGGGACTAAACCAGTACCAAGAAAACCTAGACCTGACCAGGACTAAACAAGGACTAGAACAAGACCAAACCATGTCCACATCAAGACAGAAATGGTCAAAATTTTGGACCAAATATCAATAAGTGTGAACGCACCCTTACTCGACCAAATAATGGCTACCAGGTTAAGTAAACTGTGGTTCAGCTTAATCCTCTGTGTTATGGGAAATGATTTTTAACTCAAACTGAGATAACTCCCTCCAACAATGCACAGGTTGTATTTCCTTGCCCTTATGTTTTGTTCGTAACACAGTTCAGTTCCAGTCCGATGACAATCTCAACAAGAGCGTATAGGGTTCAGCTCTCGGCGGGGCGAGCCAGAGCGAGGATGTCCTTTGTCTTAGTGAGCCTAAAAGCGAAGGATAGAGTTTAAGTGGGAAGATAAAAGAGGAGCTGACAGAAAGTTAAACAGGAAGTGGCCTTATCAGCTTACAGAGCCTGGCACACAGGCACTGGGCACAGACGGAGCAGTGCCACGCTGATACAGTCTGCCCACCACAGCCAAGTGAGGGGAAGTGGAGAAGTCCTGGCTGCAGAGATTGTCCTGTTAAATTTAGCTTAAGATGAACGTTTACTTTGCTTTAACTTAACAAACAATAAAAACACACATATCAACATTCAGCAAAAACAAAAAAAAATTCCAGACAAACTTATTTTATCCACAAGGGAAATGAGCTTACACAATACAAAATAATAACAAACTGCAAAAAATAAATATTAACAGAATAATGAATGTAGCAAAGATAGCAAAATACCAAATAAGACTGCCAAATAAGTATGCAGATTTGTTTTTCCAAGTAAAATATGATAATATTAAAATATTGTTAATGCTGAAACACAGTATTTTTTTTTTTATTGGAAAGTGAATATTTTTATAATGTGCATCTTGACTTCAGTGACTCACATTAAAATACAAACAACTGCACTATAGTGTATTCCAATGATCTGAATGCCTCTGTTATGGTGTCGGTAAATCTCACACAGACATCAGCTGCCTCTCAGTCACAGCGCAGACACTAAACTACTCCAAGCCCAGTGCAGAGCTTATTAAAGTGTGGAGATGTCTCTCATTAGACCTGCTGTAAATCTGCTGCAATCCCATAAAGAGGCTGAGAGCTGACAGCACCGCCACTGATGTAAACAGCTCTGTCTTTACTGACAGACAACACTGATATGTGGGATGGTTTATGGAGAGTCAAACAGTTAATACACAGAATAATGTACATCAAATTTGTTGCTTTTGATTCCCACAAAAAGCTGTTACATGCATATTAAAGGTCTTTTGTTATTTTGTGATCTTGAAACCATGTTAGAATATTGTTTCCTCATCGAAAAACATGTTTTTGATGAGGAAACGTAACATAGATCAGAAAATAACTTTATATGGGTCCTTTACTTGTACATTTAGAAAAGCGTTTTAAATCACTTTTATTTTAAGTCATATATAAAGTCCCACTCAAAGTTCACAGGCGTCCACCAATGCATTTAGGTAATCAACATTTTTCATACGAGGTTATAATCTTATGTAGCCCCACCATGACTAAAACAGCAATTCTTCTCAATGACCCATATGAAACTAGCGGTACCTTTATATATAATTCATATCCCATCAAAAACAGGTTAATTTATCCTTTCCTACCATATATCTTTGAAATCCAATCCAACAATGAAATGCAAATCAATTAAAAGGAAGCGACTGTAATTTCTCAGTGCCCTTCACCTCTCACTTTACGCCCTGCACAATATAAACCAATCATGCTGCTACAAGTTTTATGGGAATCAAACTAATTCCAAAGCACGATACAAAATACTACTGTCTCGTGTAAAATGATCCAGGTAAACACTTGCAAGGATGATGTAATTGGGATGGCCTCATCTCTTTGAAGCCAATATAAAGTGCGCCTAATATAAAGCCAAATCCTGCCAAGAGTCACCAGTGGGACCAACCCTTCCCCTCCGCTCTTTTTCTTTCACTGTTATTAAGTCACAGTAAGTGGATAGTGTGTCACCAGGTGAAATCGTGACAGCCCAGGAGACATTGCCAACAAGTATCAGGGAGTAATTGTCCAAAAGACTATTGTAGCTGGCCCCAATTGCTTTTAAGAGCCAGCCACCAGTCAAAATCAAAGGGAGCGCACTAACAAGACAGGACAACTGAAATAAAAGAGATGGGTGGAGAGGCGGGGGGGATAGAGTGCTTTTAAAGGGTCTTACTTAAAGGCTTAACTTGGATCAAATGCTTATTACAAAAGCCCTACTGAGGAAATCAAACAGGCCGGAAGCTGAAGAGGTTTAACAAAGTATCTGAGGAGACAATAGGGTTGACTTGATGTTTTGGTGATGTGTTTTTGTCCAGGTATATGTCAATGGAGAGTGGGTGACCAATATTGGAGAAGGAGGAAGTTTCGGAGAGCTGGCACTGATCTATGGGACTCCCAGAGCAGCCACTGTTAAAGCCAAGACAGACCTGAAACTGTGGGGGATTGACAGAGACAGCTACCGGCGCATACTCATGGTACAAATGCATTCATTTTAAAAGTACTTCATATGACAAACCAGATCATGCTTGGCCTTTGTCTGATCTGCATAGGCCATCATCACATATATTTTGCTTGTTCATTATTTTCTGTTCTATTAACACCCACACTATTCACTGACATAATTACCTGTATATGTTTTTTCATTATTTTATTTCATGTTAGGAAAATAACAACACCCTTTGTTAGGTTTATCTAATCATTAAAAACAAGAAGAAAGACAAGAGATTAATTCAGTTTTACTCATGAGGAGAACGGGCAGAGAGTGGGCATCAAAACCAACAGTCTCCACACGTTCTGATGACTCAAGGCCGTTCTCCTCTTTGTATTTCATTAGGAGGCCCTAGTTACAGAATGATAATTCTCAAGGGGAAGGGGAAACCAGCAAAGACATAATAAGAAACTGATGCAGCTAAGCATAGTATAAACACATAAATCATGATTAACAATCAGGAGGTGCCTTAGGTATGGTCAGACACCATCATAACTCTTGCATGTGTGACAGTGGGAGTTGGCTTCATGTGAGGAATCATCTCGAGGTTCACTAGAGCGATAGGACACTGCACACAGTTGTCAAACACACAGAGGTTATTCAACAAGTGACAAGTGATTGGTACATTATAAATCAAAGAATTGTAGTACATAAATGGTTAACTCATAGGCCTAGAATATCACACAAGTATTTAGCAAATATGGGATAATAAAATTATTCTGACACCCTTTTTGGAGGGACGATTACAGTGCCAGTTTCTTTTCTTTTTTTTGCAGCCTATTATAGGTTCACTGTTATACTTTTGGATACTTCCAGTACTATTTTAATCTAAGTTCCTTGTTTTGTGGGCATATTGACAAAAAATAGCATCTAATGTAATCTAATACTGGCTGACTAATACTAATACTGGCGTTTGTTATGATATTATCTTATAGAGCAGATGATGTTTAGCCATCAGTAGCTTTACTTTCTACTGTCTCATAATAAAAAATATTACTAGAAAGCATAATAAAAATAGTAGTGCACTACTTCATTCTTATCACTTACTTAGCCTTAATACTTTCTCCCACACCACCACTTAGGACTCTTTAAATGCTTAATAGCACTGAAGCATCCTTAGTGCTTACTCCCAGTATAATTCTAGATACAGGGAGTCAGAGAGCGATGGAGGGAGGGAGCGAGTTAGGAGGCATCGGGTCAGCCCCAAATATCTCCACTCACACTTGCAGCACCGGGAGCTTATCTTTGTGGAATGTCTAAATGTTTAAACTGGAAACACAAGGTTCTCTGCCCTGGCTGTCATCCTTTTTCACAACACACATCTTTGCTGCTGTAGGAATAACTTATTACTGGCTGTGTTGCTCTTTGGAGGTCTCCATAGCTAACCAAATACTTCCTCTTAATGCTCTTTACAGCTTATGCCATATATAATATAAGCTTACGTTAATCTGGCTGCATACATGTGGTTACTTAGCAGTGAAAATGTCTGCCCTATGTCAAGTGTGGAAGTTGGCACTGCTTCTCCCAGCTCGTGTCACTGTGCATAGTTTAGGAGTTCCCCGGTAACCTGTCTTTGTGAAGGACTGCCTGTGTTCCAGTTTCACTCACATGGTGTTTGCTCCTTCCAGAATCAGCAGCGGCAGGCAGGGAGACAGGGCGAAGTGGAATTCAATTATGTCAAGCTGTATTTAATTATTGCTGTCAATGATTTGTAAAGCTGTTTTTATAATGTGCGGTATTCTGGCAGCAGCGCCGGCCAACATAACGAGCAGTCTGTGTGTCTAAGTATATGAGTCTTTCCCCACTCCAATTATGCACAGTGACTGGATCTGCTGCTGGTTAGAGACAAGGGAAGAAGGTGCACTGTTGAAGCGTTCCATACCAAGAATAAGCCATTTAGGGGCCTATTCTTGGTCCAGAGGTGACCACCTGTCTCTCTTTTTATCATTCTGCACAGTTTATTCCAATTATGAATTATGAGAATGATTCTTTTTTTTTTTCATTTTCATTCAAAAATGTCAAACAGAAAGGAGGAAAAGGAATAGTCCTTTTCCTTGTGTTAGAGAGACCATGTTATGAGAGTCACACGTATAATTTATAAGAAAAAGTAAATTCAATGTTGCTGAATGGAATCTGAACTGTAGAGTGTAAAGTTAGTAAGTTTCTAAGCTTAGTCTTCTGAAGTTTATCCCTCAATGTCCCACTAAGTGTTCTACTGTTACTACTTTTTGAGAAGGCCACACTTAGCCCAGCAAAGTTGATGGGATTGGAAGAGAACCCATCCATCCATTTTCTTATCCAGGACCGGGTCACGCGGGCAGCAGTCTATCAGGGACTCCCAGACTTCCTTCACCCCAGACACTTCCTCCAGCTCTTCTGTGGGCACCTCAAGGCATTCCCAGGCCAGACAAGAAACATAGTCCCTCCAATGTGTTCTGGGTCTTCCCTGGGGCCCCCTTCCAGTGGAACATGCCCAGAACACCTTCCCTAACGGAGGCACCCAGGAGGCATCCAGAACAGATGCCTGAGCCACCTCAGCTGACTCCTCTCAACGTGGAGGAGCAGTGGCTCTACTCTGAGCACCTCCCGTGTGACTGAGCTCTTCACCCTATTTCTAAGGGATCGCCCAGTCACTTTGCGGAGGAAACTCATTTCAGCCGCTTGTATCCGCGGTCTTGTCCTTTCAGTCATTACCCAAAGCTCATGACCACAGGTGAGGGTAGGAATGTAGATTAACCAGTAAATTTGCCTTTTGGCTCAGCTCCCTCTTCACCACAATGGTCCAATACGAAGAGAACCCTGTGTAAAAAAATGCTATTAAGATTAATAAGATCAAACTTTATTGATCCCTCCTGAGCTAAATTCATCCTCTGCATTTGACCCATCCTTCAACAAGTCCAGCTCGAGCAGGACCAGTGAGCTACTGCCGTACAGCACACATGACTGGAATGACAAATGATTAGTTAATGGACACACTTTGAAACAGTAATTCATTCATTCAGAAACTAAGATTGGATTACTTGCTGGCAGGCACCATCACCTTCAAAGACGTTTTTCCTTTATCCAAACTATCACACATGTATCCTCAATGGCTGCTTTATGACAGCATCCACACTTGGGTACTGTAACAAAAGAAAGATAACGTGTCATGCGTTTTGACATTGTGTAAAACCTTACCTTCCTCTACCCCCTTTTCTAATCTTCCAAAAAGTACTTGGGATTACTACAATTCACTGTGCGGCCATCACTTGTACAATACCTGTATTGTTATGTCATGTTGGTATCTAAACACACGGCTAAGCTATTAACAAGGTGACAGACCGCATTCGATGAAGGAAGATGAGACAAAATGATACCCAAAACGCGGCGGGATGTTAGAGGTGTGTGTACTCACCATTGGCCCGAGATGAAGGCGGTGTAGATGGGCCGTGAGATGCGGTTGGTTTAGCCTGGCTTCGTTCCACACCTCGAGCCCCTTTGATGATCTTACCTCAAAGACAAGCATCAGACAAAGAGGCTGGTTCATCCTTAACCACGGGAGGACAGGAGTAGGGGAGGTTCAGACATAAGAAATATCAAGGCCTCCTATGTCGACTAACAAAAGACAGATGCAAAGGAAACAAAGTGTTGGGGAAAAATCACAGGGAATTTCTGAATTTCTGCAAACACCCATTTTGCTGTGTCAGTCACATACTATCCTAATCCAGCAGCATAAATCTTACCCGCTGTGTAATGTAAGGCATAGTAAGCCTTTAAGTCCAGAGAGCCTATCTAAGGAGCCCTATGGGGAGGTAAATGGGAAAGTGCGCTTGTACAGAAGTTGAACATACATGTGTGAGTTTGTGTTTGCAGTCTTAATGGGTATTAGGGTTTGTCTCCGTAGAAACAGCAGTGAAACTTAAGTGGCAGAACTCAAAACAGATTCCACACACTGCTGTATAGACAAAAAGGCATTTACCCAGGAGGAGGGAGGCAATGCACACTAGAATTCCTTTAATCAAGTTGTTTACGATTTCAAGATTGACGTTGGCTCACTTGGGAACTTTTTCTCCTGTTTTAAGACAAAATGTGAAATTATATGAAATTAGAGGCAGCAGCAGGCACTTATGCACTAAAGACACCCCAAGCCTCGGTATATCATTTCCATATGCAACGCACTCGTCTGCAGATGAAATCGGTGCTCCCGCTCTCCCTCTGTTCTCCCCTTTCTCTTTTTATGTTGCCGCAGTAAAAGTGGGTCTGAAAAAGAATAGCGTTGCAGAAGGAGGTCCGGGGGGTTTAGACTTGTCATGAAGCACCTGATGGTCCTGACAGAGGAGCGGAGGGAAAGTCCCGCCTGGTGGGTGGGACGGGCCACACGCACTCACATCCTCTGTACTACTTACACATGGCTTACACAGACAAGGATGACCCCATGAACTTCGCTAATAACATGGTATCCAAGGTTGCAAATGATGTGTAAATATGGTGTGACAGTACTAAAATTGGACAATTAACTAGTTTGCCTCGAGACAAAAAAAAATAGATAACTTGATGGATAAGAACAATGCCTATAGCACTTTTCCAGACACGACTCCAGTTTCGTGCATTGCTCATTCACTTTACACAGTTCTTTAAGTTTGAATGCTCAATCTAATCTGATTTCAGAAGCTGAGCAGGGTATCGTCCAGTTAGTATTTGGATCGCTGCATTGCACTACACACTATACAGTTTTTGTATCCTTGGGCAAGACACTTCACCACCCTTCAGTGTCCATGTGTGCTAATGCTTGAGAGAGTGTATGTGAGAGTGAACGCAGGACAATTAATGGAAATTAGCTCATATAGCACATATACTACAATCCAGTGAGTTTAAATGCCTGTATATCAAGTTTCTTTGCTTAAATTAAGAGTTACGGCGCAACAATAGCTAAAAAAATGACAGACGGAACTACATAGACCATGATCTTTTTCTCTATTTCAGTGCAGAGTACATGAAGAAATAACAGTTCTAAGAATTTTTAAGTCTTAGTTCTTTAGATTAAGCCTTGTTAAGGAATTTTAAGAGAAAAAAGCTGCATATTCACAATTTTGTTAGCTTCCACACAATACCGCAATAAATATTGTACCATGAGATGTATATCATGAAAACATTGTACTGAGAGATTTGCATATTGTTACATCCCTAATCGCTTTCCCACGATATTGCAATAAATATCGTACCATGAGGTTCATACCGTGATGAGACTGGGATATTGTTAAAACCCTATTAATTTAATAATAGAGCACATTTGTTGAAGGCAGTGACAATTCAGTAAAACTGAACTTTTTGACAGCCTTGTTATAACATCCATTGTTTTGTACCATTGTGTCTTTCAGGGAAGCACACTCCGAAAGAGAAAGATGTACGAAGAGTTCCTCAGCAAGGTCTCCATCTTGGGTAAGCCTTCATACATTATTCACAAATTAGCTGTAGCATGAGCAGCTTTGCACGTGTATGCTAACCAGCGGGTCAAGGAGTTTAGAGTGCAGACAAATCGCCGCATATACTGTAGATTAGCCCACATAAACAGTGGCCCACGTTGTTTCACCAGGTCAACGGTCTGGTCGAGTCCTAATCTGCTCAAAAACGCTTCATACCCAACTGGTCACACTCTGCACTGTCACTCCAACTCAAACATAAGGGGGCTAAGTTAATCTTTCTCTCCTGGAATTTGGATAATGGCAAACCTATACAAGCTATTCACTTTGTTAGCCCTGGTGGTGAATGCAACTTTCAAACCAGTTGCAATTAGAGCTGACACGCCGTCCCCTTCCACTTGATGGTTTGTGTGTGGTGCATAGAATCAGGCCGTGCCCCCTGTACAGAGTTATTAGCTGGCTGAGTAAACACATACACTCAATTGAGGTCTTAGCAGGGCCCGGTCTCTTTTTATTCTCCTTCCCTCTTTTCTGAAAACCTTGTCGAGGCCTGCATTGAGAACTCCTCTTAGCAGCACTCCGACTCATTTTTCTTTCTGTCACTCTCCTTCGTTCTCAGGGAAGAAGGTTTCGGGTGGGGTGTTGCATTTTGTTTGTCTTTGATTTTTGAGATAACCATGAAATAGGGTACAGGCCTTGATGTTGGTGTTGTGAAGGAGGGGAAACAACATGCTTAAGGGTTGAGATCCGAAAGGGCATAAAGGACGTTTGAACTACTTATTTTTAATAAAGTTGTATCTATTGAATGAAAGCTAATTATAAGCTTTATCCACTGTCAGAAATTGCAGGTATAGTCATAGTTATATTCATTCATAGTCTAAAAACACACTTCTCTTAACACAGGAGGTTTTGAAATAAAAATTTGAGATTCGTTATTAGAATACCATCTGCCAAGAGCTGTCACAGATTTAAAAATGACTCGAAAAGTTTGTTTAAAAGGGTGTTATACCATAGAAGACATCCAACTGATTTTTTCTGCTCGTCAGTGTTCTCCTTGTAGAAACATTGTCAAATAATATGTATATATATATTTTTTTTTCAGTAAATAAATACTCCTCTCATCAATTGATTGAAATAACTGAAGAGAAATACAATAGGAAACTGATTATTTTATTTTTCCCCCAAACCTTTAAAAAAATTTCCACTCAGCACATTAGCACATCTCATGTTACCTGGCTCTCCGTTCAGGATCACCTCAATGGGAGCCAGCCTTTAGCGAGACAGAGAACATCTATTGGGGGGGTCTGGCAGACACTCCGGCCCCACTGGGACAGGACACTAGACACCTCTGCACCACCACGCTTCACTTTATTTAATCCTAAAACACATAAAGACACACTCTCAGATCGGTTACTGAGCACTTCCGGAGACAATACAAGAGATTTTAGAGAGGCTTGCGTCTCAGTCAAATCAAAACATCGAATTGCGGACTAGACAAAGCTCAGGGGTACGAGGAGACAGAGAGCTTATGAGGACTTCTGTGTGGCTATCTTCAATATAAATCCCTCTAACTATAAATAAAATACCAATACTTCAGATGTTCAAAAGTTTCTGCGGGTTGGAACTTTATGCACAGTGAAGATGTGTGGCTGTCTGTGTTTTTGGTCTCAGCGCAAATACCAACAGCTTCTAGAAATATCTGGGACTTAAACCACGTCACTGTACATGTGGTCGGCCGGCTGGAAAGACAGCTGTCTCCGCAAGCGCAGCTAAAGTATGCATCATTGGAAATCAGTTCTTGTAATCACATATAACCATACCACACTGTAAAATCTGACTAAAGACAGATTGAAAACACAGACTACCTTTTTAAACTTTATTTAATGTTACTTCAGGACTGTTTTGCTGGTATGGTTGCAATTTTTGAATTATTGTTAGATCAGAAAATTCACTTTCTTTTGCATTTGCACCTAAAAAAAATCTTTTTTGTGTGTTACTGTTTTATTTAAATGAATGTTAGTCATAACTTGATACTGTATGTATTTTCCTAAAAAAATAAGACTCAGCTTTCACCAAAAGTCAGAACCGATTGTGTGTGGGCTTTCAAATTTAGAGCTTATTTTTGGGGGGTTCATGATGGACTTGTCTGAGATTGCAGGCCCTGATGAATGACTGGATTACACTAAGGTGGAAATTACCATACCACCAGCATCTTACTGGACTCACCATCCATCAAATACACTGTAGTGATTTGAACATTTTCTGCTCCAATCAATTGAAAAATATAAAGAGATAAAGAGTTGGAATATTTAAAAAAAAGTTTAAAACTCTTTGTGTTTGATTTGCAGAGTCTCTGGATAAGTGGGAACGCCTGACTGTAGCAGATGCACTGGAGCCAGTTCAGTTTGAGGACGGAGAGAAGATTGTGGTTCAAGGAGAGCCTGGAGATGACTTCTTTATTATAACTGAAGTAAGGGGATGTATGGACCATAGTCTCAAATGTTTTAATAGAAAATATAGTTAGATTTACATTTTTTCTTTATGTAAAGTTATGGTTGTCTGTGTCTTGCATTTTGTAGCCTTGTTTTAATTCAGAATTAGTTCTGAATGAGGTTATTTTTCTTCTAGTTGGATTTAAACCATGGGTTTCCAAACTTTTTTCATCAGGGGCCACATGTCAAAACACAGACGAAGCAGAGCATATCCATTTATAACACGTTAGAAAGCCACCAGAGTTAGATCTTCAGTAGGATACACTAAATATTTGATGTTGGCATTATCAAGGTAAAGTTTAAAAAAAAAAAAGCTTGTCATAAAAAGTACTGATAATATTGGCCTGATCTAAACCAAGATTTAAAACTGATTTAGTCCTTGTTTAAAGGTGGTTTAGTCCTTAATAACTTCTGGTTTAGTTGTGATTACTTGGCTTGTCCCAATTCATTTGTGCTCATTGTTAGAGAAATTCAATCTCTGTGCTGTACTGAGAGCTGTCACTACCAGCTCATTCCCTGTTACCTTAACCTATGTCTTCAAAGGTATAATTCTCCCCACAACAGAAGCATAGTCAGACTGGAAAACACTAGACTGGAATGGACAACACTATCATGCCTTGAGGGTTCATGTCTCAGGGTGCTGGGGCCTGTACTCGTGGTAAATAATCTTCTCCTGCGTTAGAACCCCATCTCTTCTCTTCAACTCTCGGGCCAGTACAGTTTACCCTACAACACAATTTTTTTTGCATTAAGGCCAGATATTTTGTGAAACTTACTACATGTATTAAAATAACCTGCTAAAAGACAACTGCTGTGTTTGAACCAGCTTTAAACATATACACACAAGAAGCTTTGAATACAGTGTATTAGCAAGGAACTACCATAAATAATACTCTATAGTCTGTGTAACATAATAATTTCTTCCAGTTTAATGACTTCCCTGTCTACATCCTCAGACATGCTTCTCTGTCCCGTTCCTCTTGACGACTTCATTTGCCCCCTCCTCTTAAAGCCCCCCCCCTGTCTACCGTCCCTACACACTTTTGATTATTCCCACACTGGCACATCTTTCAATGTCAAGTTAAGCTGAAGGTCAAGTCAACTTTTGTTTTGTTCCTTTTTCCCAGACTTCAAGGTCAGCTTCTGGTTTTCCCATTGTCTGTATTTATGGCCAATCTAATACTGTCAAAAGGTCTTTGCAGCAGCTAAGGATTTCCCAAACCACAGAATATCTTAACTGAATGTGCTGACATACTTAAACATTCCTCAAATATTTATAGACTACACTGAAAATATCTCACATTGACCAGCAGGGCTAAATTTGAAGCTTCAGTCAACCTCCCTGGTGGCAGCAGAAATCCCTTGAAAGCCAGTTTGTCTGTGCAGAAAATAAACCCCACAGGATTTAGAGCTCAAATAGAGCAGTTATAGCAGTAATGCATGAGTCATCATCATTGGAATTTAATACAATGATGCACCAATCCAGCGTTTCATGCTCTGCCCTTAAATATCCACTGACGCTCCATATGAGCCGATACCTAGGCCTAGACAATAACAGATTTTGAAGCATGATATATTTCTCAAGTAGACGATAAATGATAACATTGAAACTCATTTATGTCACTGACACAATAATCTAGGAGCATATTTTAAATACAAAAACTATTCTAAATCTACAATATTGTTAAAGAATGGAGCTGCAATAAATAAACAGCAGAATGAAACACTTAAGCAGTTAGTTTGCATCTGTAATGAGTCATAGAAGTTATTAATTCAACTTTTTACCACCTAAATCTTATTGTATACTCAAAAATAACCACACATTTCCCAGTAGTGCAAAGAAAATGTACCCACAAAAAATACTGACCCCAAAAATATAGTTCCAGCTTTCATTTATTGAACGATAATTCAATATTGTAATTATGGTGACAGATCTATCGATACCAGACTGAAATAGCTCTCTCTCTCTTTTTTTTTTTTAACAGATAAGAGATAATAGATAAGAAATTGGTTTACTTAAATTGACTTTAAAGGTGCACTTATCTACTATCTATCTTTCATTTATTCAGTTACAGATGATTTATTGTTAATTTGGTCCCTCCACCAGAAATGTTGCAAAGTGCCCCTTAAAGCTGCATATATGATGCGTACAGACAGAAAACATATCAGTGTTGTGACAAACGACTATTGCAACAAAATAAACAATGCTGAACTTTCTGAAGTCAAATCATCAGATAGGTAGGTTTATGCCATATGTAGATCTCATGCGTGAAAAGACTCCTATCGGACCATCATTTATATGCACTAGTGGTTCTCTATAGTGCATGTACCCCTAGTGGTGGTGACTTAATTTAGAGTGAATTTTATCTACTTTTTCTCACCCCAGTCCTTTTTCGAACTTCTGTGAAATGGTATAGTCCTGTTTTAGAGTTTAGGCTTGCTTTAATTTCTGTTACATACTAGCTATGATATGTTATACTCTAGAGACTATATTTTATATCTTTATTTGCTTAGATGGTACTTGGTGTGAAAGGTTTGAGAACCATTACACTATTCATTTTTTTCAATCAAGCATACCACATCTTAAGGACATCTAAACTATTTCTGCTGAACCATGTGATTTTCCAGCCCAAACTCCCCCTGAGCTCCAGTCTGTGTCGGTGTCAGGGCGGCAGCAGGGCCCGACTTTCCCAGAGCGCCCGGGAAGATGGTGGAATGTGTGTCGGCCACTTTCACATGGGGTCGAGAGAGCCAGCCCCCCGGGAGGCCGAGGCTGAGCGGGGATGAGTCACAGGCCAGCAGCAAAGCATGATGGGAGAGAGGAGGAGATTTGGGGAGTTTTACCACCACATCCGAGCCTCGTAATCTTCTCCATGTCAAAAACTGCAATTAAGATGTATGCAATAAGATTAGTGAACAGTGCCATTGCTGTTTTCGTGGTGGTAAAAAAAATCTAGATGAGCATTTGTAAAGAATTTAAAATATTCTTAGATACTGAATACTGCACATTGTTTGATAATTTGATAATTACTTACTTTTTAAATATAGTATTGAGTAAACGTATTGCAAACTTAAAACGTATTGCATTGTGGAGGGTCTGTCAATGCTTTTTTCCAAACCATATCAAGTTGCAAGTCAGATCTGTGGAGAGGCAACCCCGCTCGCTGTCAGAATGTTTTTTTGTTTTTTTTTTTTTTTTTTTTTCTGAGCTATAAAACCACCTGTATTTGAATAAATGTAAGGTAGAGCTGTTTAATGTCATACTGTTGAACGTTTCAGGCAGAGAAAATGGCATATCCAACCAAAAAGTTACACACTCCACCTTTAATTGTTCAAGAATGTATTTTTTTGTTCCCAGGTATGTTGTGGTATTTCAGATGTTGTAGCTGTAGCAATAAATAGCAGAGATTTTGTTTAGGTTTAGTAATGGCAGAAATAGAACTTGGAGCATTTCAGTTTATTTAGGATTTTGTTTTTTGAAATTACAATTAAATAGTTGTGGATGAAGTAATAGCAACTGTTGTAAAAATAGCAACTACTACTACTACTTCTACCTCTATTTCTACTACTGCTACTACTAAGAAGATACTTTGACACCAGTGGCCCTAATGAAAAGTGACATGTTTACATTTTATTCATGTTCGATTATGCTCTTATGCACTCAGCACTCACCACTAAAATTGTATATTCTGAAAAGGATGAAAAGAAAAGGAGTGTGTATTTTTCAGTATTAAAGTTTCCCACAGATTATTTTATTGTATCATGCTACATCCAAGCTACGTGTTTGTTGTGGTGATCTTTGCAGGAAAAAGCCCAAAAGAAACAGGAAGGAGATAATTAAAACATCAATATATCTTTTTTCACATTTGACCTTTGAACCCCAAGGTCACTAAACTAAAAGGTCATTTGGGACATGCAAATTTGAAATCTCTTTAGTGTTTTTTATGGTTTCTTTTTGGCATTTGTAATTTAGTTAATGTAGCTTTAAGATTTTACAGATTTAGCTGAATTTTACAGTCACTCTATTAGAGGCTGGTCATAAATTATAGTATGGATTAACACATTTTCATGCTGTCGCTCTGTTGTCTCCGGAGAATCCCCAAATCTGTAGAGTGTAGTGAGAGATGAGAAAGTGCCTGTTGTCTTTAGTGTTTTCTATAAGCACAGTCTTTGTGTGCGTGAGTGACAAGGTGCAGACACTGCCGGTGCTGGGTGGCCTTGTGAACAGATATCACCTTACTCTGCCTCTCTCTTTCTCTCTCTCTTTCTGTCTTCTTCTCTTCCCCTCTCTCTCCATATCTCTCACTCTCTCTATCTCTCGCTTTATGTTTCCCTGACTTTCTTTCTTTCTGGCTCTCTTTCTCTGGCCCTCACTCTTATTTCTCTCTCTTTCTGTCTTTGCTCTCTTTTTCTCACTCTCTCTATACTCGCTCTCTTTTTCTTTCTTTCTTTCTCTCTCCGTGTTTCTGTCTCTAGCTCTAGCTCTCTTTCTTTAGCTTTATTTCTCTCTCGTTCTCTTTCTCTCACTCCCTCTCTGTCTCTCTGCTTCTGGTTATCTGTTGTTGATTCAGTGTTTTTTTTTCCTTTCTAAATCAGTTTGTCCCACTGGCAAATTCTCCTCTGCATTTAGTTTACTTTAGTTTATTTATGAGACTAAACTAAAAGATTTTTGATACAGGGACAGTGCATAATATATGTTAACCTTAACAGGAGAGATGCATTGTACCAGGTTGTAGCGCTAGAGCTATTTCCACCTGTTGTCCCTGGGCAGGTTGATGTTATAGTTCATAAAATCAAATATACAAAGAGAATGACTTTATAATGACTGTAACATCATAACAATTCTGTATCCTCATTCACACACATTTGGCCTGTCCTTTAACCAGCGCCTCTGGACAACTTGTCAAGAGCAATAGTTCATATAAGCGCAGCACCCAGGGACCCATGTCTTGATATTTAACAAGGATATTGCTGTTGGTCAGAAGTGTCTAGCTGGAGGATTAGTCTTCTGTAGTGCACATTTGGAGTTGACTGGGCTCATTTTCTCATACATGATGGAAACATGTAGCCAGGCTGGCGCCACCTAGTGCCTCCACTCAATTTAATTTCTCTCCAGCAACAAGGTCAGGAATTGGAATACACTAGACAGTTTGCAAGAACCCCAGTAGTGTGAGTTCAGGCACCAGCCAGTCAGCGAAGAGCCATACATTCTCTGCTGGCAACGATTCCCGAGATCAATGATTTAAAGCCGGAACAAAGAGAATTTCTGTTTGGTGAATCTTATCAAGGGGAAAGAAGTTATTGCCCTTCTTCCCACGGGATCTGGGAAAAGCTTAATATACTAGTTAGCCCTGTTAGTGGCACATTACATACTTCATGACCAAATAGCAGTGATTGGTTAAATAAAAAAGTACCCGCCTACCGTCGATCAAACAAATTCTAATGCTGCGACGGTTTCCAAGAAGTGAAGTGGCTCCACAAAGAAAGACCATACTCGGTCACAGAACTGAACCTGGGACATTATTGCAGTGAGGCAAAAGTGCTATCCCCCAGGTGAGGACTCAGTTCATTCCAGTCTCATTGTGCTACTTGGATTTGCACAATATTGTACTTCTAAAATAAATACATTTTAAAAATGATGCCTTATATGTGGATTAGTTATACACGCCTAATTTTAGTTATCTTGTCTTGTAATGTTTTTCATTCATACTTATCTCCTATTCTTGCAGAGGGATAATTCTGGTCTAGATTGCTCTGTGTAGAGAGGAGGATCCCCAGTGTTTATGTAGGAGATGTGTGAGTGCTGCCTGTGGGATGGCACAGTCTGATGGTTATCTGGACCACACCGGATGAGGCCTCTGTACTGTACCTGACAGAGCTGCACTGTCTCAACCTCTTTGTTTGGACTTGAATGGAAAGTTGTACACCCAGGAGATCTACTGCACTGCCCACTCCTATCTCCTCTATTCAAGAGTCTCTATATCACTAGTCACTTAAAAGTGCACTATGTAACTTTTCTGGTGTCAGGCCTGTCCCGTTTCCATAGAGATGTTATTGCTTTGCCTGGAATGTTGGCAAAATTGAAATTGACTAAATTGACTATTTCCATGCAAACAATGACTCTACCATGCCAAGTTACAAGTATTTCAAAATACTTCTGAGCAAACAAGTTGGAGCTCCTCCAATATCCGTTTAAGAGTTATTTCTGCATCAGCTGTTACATTTCTTAAACAACATATTTCATGCTCATATATTCAACATTTTAAAAATTCCCAGGTTTACTCTCATTTTAGATTAGAAAAGAAAGATCTTTTTAACCTAAAAAAATGACTTGAACTTTACTTGAATCCATATTTGCCATCATCAAAGTAAATTTCACTGTACAAGGCTGTGTTTTGTGCTCATTAAGACTGATTATGTCCACATTGTATTATTGGTTTGGTCAGCACACGGAAAATGGAGCCAAAGAAGGATTAACAACAGTGAGAAGGAGGGAAGGCAAAAAGTCAAGTATGTTTAGTGACATTTCAATCAAGCTCTTCGTTTTGCCTTTTACCTTGTTTACCTGCTCCTATTACATAGTATATTACAAATTATTTATTGCATACTGATTACAAAATTATCTGCTGTGAAAAGATTCATGTGTTGGTGGCCTTGGGTTTTGGACTGAGAGGGTTCTATTGTACACTGTAAGCCAAATTCACAATCAGCTTGACTTCTGTACATATTTTATTAGTATTGAGGGGTTAATCTGGGTCATTATTTTGAGATCTTGTAAATTCTGGCAGAGTTATACAAGTACACTTTGTATTTCCGAAATCCCACTCCAGTTCAATTACATTATGTTTGTTGAAGCCAAAGATTCAGTTTTAGTTCCCACACCACACTGGAATATTTGACTGTGTGTTTCTGTGTTTCTGATGTCACAAAACAGGTGTTTGTTGGATGGAAAGCAGCTAAATCCTGTGCACCTGCGTTCTTATGAAGCAGAGGAATTTTGCCTTGGCCTTAATCCTCCTGATGATTTTCAGAGCCTTTTGGAATACCCCTCTTTGACCCCTCCCACCCCACACTCATCTCCTCATTAACTCTTCCCCTCTGTCTCTCCTTTGTTTCCAGGGAATAGCTTCAGTTCTGCAGCGCAGGTCAGACAACGAGGAGTATGTGGAGGTTGGACGCCTGGGGCCATCAGACTATTTTGGTGCGTATAATGTACACATTTTGCATTTTTACTTACTGGGTACTACACACATATTCAGCTGCTCAGTTAGAGGTAACGTGGCTCTAGTTCAGTGATTTTCAATTAGAAGGCCTAGGCCCAGTCTGTGCACCAGATGTCCTGTCATTATTCAAGATTGTTTGTTTGTTGTTTGCATTTCACTCATCCTTCAGTAATGCAAGGTGCATTACCCATGTAGTTGTAAGTATAAGGCAGAGTCACTGGTGTGAAGCATGAAGTAAACAATGTGTCAATTATATGTCATATGAAGAAATAGACTGTCGTCTGTAAAAGGCAAATAAAACTGACTATGGTTGAATGTGCTCCTACAGTTTAATCCTTTGATGCATTTTTTTGATGACATCCATGTATGCTGAGGTAGTCTTTTCTCAAACATATGAACACCTGTCCTACCTGGTTGTCTTGTCTTCATCAGGTGAGATTGCGCTGCTGTTGAACCGCCCCAGAGCTGCTACTGTAGTGGCCCGGGGCCCGCTCAAGTGTGTGAAGCTGGACCGGCCAAGGTTCGAGCGTGTGCTGGGGCCCTGCTCGGAGATCCTCAAGAGGAACATCCAGAGATACAACAGCTTCATCTCCCTCACCGTGTGACGCCTCTGTCCCACCACCACCTGCAGGGTGCCCACATCAGCATCACGTCAGTTCGACCAGAGCGGGTTTACAAAGAAGAGTGCTCATTTCCTGCCTTTTTTTCTATTTTGTTTGATCTTGTGCACTTTGACTTGACCTGTGCTGTCACATAGCTTTATGTCAGAAAGAGGATGTAAAAACCTGAGGGGTGAGACGTCATGTATCTCATGTAAATGTGTCATGCATACAGCGTGTTGACTGTACATGATGCATGCTTCTATCTGTCTAAATGGAGATTGCACTTTGATGGTCTAAGGATGGATTCAGGACATAAGCAAGTTGTGTTTACGTACAGCTTTTGCCTTTTCCACTTCTGTGTGGTGGTGCCATTTGTAGGTCACTGCACATTCTTCTACCAATATATTTAGATACATTATCGGCTTTTATTATTTACGCTTCTATTGCCGCGTAGAGGCACATGTATGTTTGAAGTGGCAATGTTTTGTTGTGGCAAAAGCTTTTTGAAACTTTCTAATTGTCAATTTGCCCTATGGAGTAACTTTTACCAGCCCAGTGCACGCACACACAGTACTTTTATCTAACAGTACTTTTTTTTATTTATTTTAATGTATACACCTCCAATGTCTCAGGACTCTCCAAAACTCAAATGCTTTTTAATGCTGATTTTATTTCTGCCTAGAAGGACCTTTTTACTCCACTTTGTAGCATTGGGTCAACATCTTGATCTATCATTTTTAAGACTTAAAAGAATATTCTTCACATTTAAAGTAAGGAGTTGAAATAGATATAATGTACTGTATTTACCTGTGTTGCTTTTCTTTGATTTGCTGTATCACGTCTGAGGCTCCACAAGTGACCTCTTTCTGTATCTTGTCTGTGTGTCTTTCAACTATAAAAATCATCTTGAGCAAATAAAGATAGGCTTGTGAAATAATAGTCTTGCACTTTTATAAATGTACAAAAAAAAGTCTAAGTCTATAAGTCTATTTTTTATTTTCTTACAAAGATGCAGTCTGTTCACCGATACCATGCTGGAGTCTGTGTCATATTCAAGTACATGAGGTTGGTTTTTCCAATTTGGCTATTCATACGCGTTAGCATGATTAGTCAACAGACATAATACAGTACTTCAAAAGTTAAAGGTGCACTATATAATATTTAAGTAAACAGCTACCCTTTTCCTTTACTTCAGTAGAGTAGATTTAATCCAAATCATCCAAATAATTCTAATCAAGATGTATGTGACACAAGGTGAAACAAAGTGTTTTCTCTTTGAGGAAAGAACTGAGCCTAAATGTGCAGAGTTTGTGTTAAACATGTGTGAATGAAACAAAATTCCAGTTATGTTTGTGATGAGGAAACAACATAACAGAGATCAGAAAATAGCGTAATACGGGCCCTTCATACTGGAATAGATTGTTAGCGTCAACACTGAAAACACACATTTTCATTAAAAAAAACAATCAACAAATAGAGCTGCTTTGATGATGTAGCCATCATTTTTCTCACACTTTCTGCCCATCTCTCCTGTGCCCTCCCTCTGCCCTGGCTGCCCTTTATCACTCCACCTCTGCTCTCCATCTCTTTTCACATTAAGCCAAGTGTCAGTCATCCTTCAGAGTGCACTGTCAGAAAACCTCAGCGCTCCTCCCCGGCCATTTTACAACAACATAGCAAACTAAATACCCTGACCAGCTTTGACACATTCCTCCTAATCTTAATGCCCACTAAATCAAGTGAAGAATGTGGCCCCAGCACAGATAGTGAGCCCACTGGTACCCCCTCCGCACTTACCAATATGCACGTACACTTTAAATACAAATCTAAGGAAAGAATGGAAAATCATTTGTATTTTTCTTAGTTTTAATTGAAGTGACTGAAGTGTTGTGGCAGTTGAAGAGCCTGCCTGGGTGGGCTCCTTTGGGACATAACTTGGCAATAGTGCTAATGGGCGCTAAGGTAAAGCATTAACAGAAGTGGCACAGGGCCAATATGAGGATAAGCAATCTCAACCAAACACATAGTTTCACACAATTTTCAAATGAGCTCACACACTTTTCCATTTCAACCCTTTTTTAGTGCTCATAGTTCAATGTTCATGTGGCACTCAAAATGGAAGTCATAACTATTTATACACAGGGCACCACCCAGGCCCAAACTTGAATTGAACAGAAGATATTTTATAGTAAGTCCTATGTGGCCCAATCTTGAAACTGTCAAAATGCATTGCCACTTTTTCTATTAATTTAACCAAGAATATTTTAGTGTGGAGAAATTACATTTAAACCAGAAGATACAAGTGAAGGTGAATGATGAACCAAGTCTCAATAACCTAGGACAGTTATGTCAATGTGCTTTTTATGGAAAATCCGACCTCAGCATTACTGAGTAGAACCATTCCCAAGAGACTGTGAGATGTATGACTTAACCAATAATGGTAATGTTAGAAAAATGTCCTGAAAACAAGAGTGACAATGAGCAACTTCCTCAGAATCCATTGCAAAAGTACTAACATTTGTAGGGAAATTGCCTGATATACGGAAATTTTACCATAAACAAGATTCCAATGTGGGAAGATTTTTTCATGATGGGAAATTTCTGTTTTGGCAACTTGTGCATTCCACCAAATTCCACTTGGTGGATAATCATTTAGAGCATTTTACAAGACAAGTCTGGGATTGATTTGCAGTTAGACACAAGCAGTGGTGATCTCATGAGAATATTTTTTATTCCCTTCTTCAGCAAAAATGTATGACCTCCAAAAAACTTTCTATATCTGTATTCCCTTAACTACCATTCAGGCTAATTTTTGTTTCGGAAATACAGCCTTGTAAAATGCCTAAATTTTTTGTATTTCCTGGTCCTGGATATATTTGGTGTGAACGGTCCATTGGGTTTAAGGTACTTATTCCAGGGAGGGGCATCACAGCTTGGCCTGGCCCTGTTGGTAACACTGCGATGGTGCACTCTTATCATGACCTCCTGGGGTCAAAGGGCATGCCCAGGCCTGGTCACAGGTGACTAAGCAGTGGTTAGGCTGATGGGATTGTGAGGTTAGGAGTGGGAAGAAAAGAAAAAGGCAAAATGTGGGTCACAAGGTCCAGCTCAATCTTTTATGATGCCCAAACTAAATGCCTGTAGCCCATGTGTGAGATAACACTGCAAATTCTAAGATACATATAGGTACAGGAAAACATAGAAACTATAATCAGGGTTATATTTCAGTATAGGAATATAGGCAACAAAAAATGAATCTCCTCACACTGATGGATCATGATTTTATTCTTCTTACTAAAACAAATAAATATGGGTTCCAAAATAAATTTCCTGAACATAACAATACACACTTTTAATTGCAATTTAACAGAAAGAATGATCAATATGCTTCCTTCAAACACTAAACTCTGCTCCAAACCACATGCTTTTACTGACAGAGGAGTGGTGGCAGACCTCTCCATTAAAAAGACCCAAGTCGATCATTGAAGATTAGAAATGACTGAATACTGATTTCATTTAAAACACAACCCTTTAAAAATATAAATAAACTCCCAATCTGAATCCTTTGAAATATAAGGCTTGTCATGGGAAAGTACATGTTCTACATTACTGTTGGCCTCCTCACAGTATCACAATCAATTTTACACTGTGAGATTTACACATTGTTGCATGCCAAGTAAAACCTACTTCCCAAGACAAAAATCCATGAATGAAATGAATAGTATCTCATCATTTTCTGTGATATTGTTGTGCTTTCAAACACAATACAATGGTGTCAGCTCCATTTGACCCACAATTTAAGAATCATACTAAAACTTTTTTTTTTTTTTGCAGCGTATATTATGTGTTTATTGGATGACATTTCTTGTATTACAAAATCCCAAGAGAAAATGTCTGTCTCAAAGAAAAGAAAGACAGAACGCCAATATGAACGCGGGGAGGCGATAGCATCTGTTTGCTTTTTCTACTTTTCTTTCCCAAGCTTGTTATCGTTCCTCATTTCCTGCTGGACAACAAGTAAATAATTCACATGTATACATGCACTCACACTGCCACTAGGCCTCCCTCACTGAACATTTGGCTCCTTTTTCAAAGCTGTTCCCAAAGCACGGAGACTTCTGTAACTGAAGTCCAAACCGACACAAAAATAAACAAACAAAATGCGGAGCTGTGCAAAATGTATCAATGCACAAAGTTTAAGAAAAAATATAATACACTCTGGAACATAATTAAAACCTCTCCCAAGGAACAGCTCTCTTCCTTGAAAAATATACCTCAAAAAACATGCATTCTTATTTTGAGTGGACTTCCCGCTCCACAGATCTGACCTGTAACGTGGCCTGAAAGCACCACCTTGCTTGTCTTTGTGAAGATGAATGCCATACACTGGAACATATCAGACCAAGCATTTTAGAGCATCTTCATGAAAACAGGCAAGTGTTGTATCCTCCATCAGAAAAGATAGATTTTTTATACTTTGCTGCAACACTGTACTTTGTTAGAGAAAAGAAAGCGAGTATGGTCCTGCTCCACCCATGGCCATCCTTTCCAGGGACTATCCATCTTCTCTTTTGGGTCCTGCTTTTGCTCCCTTGGGTGGAGAGTGCACCACTTGTCTGAATTGTTTCTTGTTTTTGTTGCTTCTTACTCTCCAAGGAGTCGTTAGCATTGTGAGTGTGGATCATAAAAGTGCTCAAATTCTGTACCAATCACATTAGGAAGAGAAAGGAACGCTGACTCCCCACTGTCCGCCTGTTTATAAATGGTCCCAGAAGCTCATTGCGATAATGTTAATATCTGTTTTTGCTTTTAGCCAGTTTGATGGTTGGTTTCCCTCAAGCTCATAAAGATTATTCCTTCAGCTCAAATCACCTCTCAACTCAATGACAGGTTGTCAGCTTGAAAAATATGGACTTGACACATCACCATATATTCTGGATGTTTGGCAGCAATCCAAAAGAAAAAAGAAAAAAAAAGAGCGCATATCTTCTACCTTCAAGTCTACCATGGCGTCTCAGGACTTCACCCCCTGCTCTCTCAACGCAGGTGTTCAAAGTCACAAGGGCCGAGCTGTCAAGTGTGTATCCTGGATGTCCACTCAGGTCCTCTGAAGAGCCCTTGAGAGGGGCGTAGCTGTACCCCAGGCAGCGCCGGGGGGCATGTAAGGAGGGCTGGGGAGGGCAGTCCAAAGGGGTGCAGGCTCTCCCTAAACCCTATAGGAATGCATGGATTTGACTGAGAGCTGTAACGCAAGAGCACTCTCGTCCATCCCTAAGCTCATAATGGAGCCACTTCCTGTTGATAATCAGTTTGTTGTGATGTAGGGATGCTTCAGGTTTTTACACTTGAGGGAAGCATGAAGAGGAGGTGGAGGAAGGTGCTATTATAGTTCTGGTCTGCACACCATAATGATAGTATGGTTTGCCCTTAAAGTCTCAAAAGACCAAATCTAATTGGAGTCTTAGATCCTGCAGCTAACCTCTATGTATGCAATTAGTGGCCACTTTGTCCCTCTTACAGTAGAGTGTGTTGTGTTGAACAAGCTAGTGCCCCACAGCATCCTCGCAGAGCACTTGTCATATCTGTGGTCACTTTTGTGTTTCAGGAGAGAGTTCAGAAGTGTTTTAGTACACACTGTCGGCCCATGGACTGTGACAAAACCCTTTTTGGACAAAACACCCTAAAATAGAATAATATATTGTTGGACAATGTCAAAATGTATGTGTATGTATATGTTTGGATAATATACTGTATGTATAAGTGCGTTTTGGGTTGCCAAAAACAAACAAACAGAAAATATGTAAATGCAGTTTGATTTGACAGCCCTAAATGTAAATACAGACATGCAAACACTGCATTGAGAAACTCTGTACTGTATGTTAGTTTTATAATTTATTATGTCTGTTTTGTTGTTAATGTGCTGGTTATCCAATAGCC